CTTCCCCGAAAGGTTCTAGTTCTGAGATACAGGATTTCGTCTTTGAAACACAATTTTTTTCCTTCACAATTCTTGAGTGGTTGAAATGCCTCACTTAAGTTTTTCATTTCATGTATCCCCTTTCCCCATAAAAAAACCTGTGCTCTGACTCTAACATACAAAAACGAAAAAAAACTCTCCCACCTTTACAAGGCGAAAGATTCTCGAAATTGAGCGCAGGATCCAGCCATCTCTCTGTAATATAGATGTCCATGTCAAAGTCGTTTGTTAATTCGTCTACAGATGTGATTGCTTGGATCCAAATTTCCACAAAGACAGTCATTCCTTCGTCCTCTATAATAACGTGCTATACAATCTTGGTAGAAAAAGAGAAGAATAGCTTACGTGGTATTCGAAATTTGTTATAGCCAGTACCGTTTAGCAGCTGATCGATGATATCGGTGTCACGAGTGCAATTTCTGAAATTTTTCACTTGATGACACAAAAGCACTTTCCTGCGCGAAAATTTTGATATTTGATTCATGGGAGTCCGAAAGATGTTTCTTGGGAAAATTTGATATGAGGCCAGAAAAAAAGATGAGTATAAAGTGCCATCGCGAAAAACGAATTATTCTTGCTCACTGTGATATGCCAGAGTTAGAAACTTGAATTGATACGAATCCAAATTTTGGAGCTCAATTTGAGGAAATTTCCAACTTTTTGTTATTTAACCTCAGGTGCTTATCATCGCTTTGACTTGGAGTGAGGATTCGTCCAAATCACATTGAAGGTAAAAAAGAATTCTTCCAGAAACATGTGCTCAAGAGTAAATTTTTTTTTGAAAAAATGCGAAAGAAAGCTATGGCCTGGTTCTAAAGAGCTTTTTGTTTTTTTTTTGCACCCAAGATACCTATTGGATGATTGACCGAATCGCTCAGAGAGAAAATCCTTTTATCTATAATGTCATGTCTATCTATGTTAGTTATGCTTAGTAAGTTGTTATTTAATGGCTTGTTTTTCACGATTTCGATCTAAAGCTTGGTGCATTGTGATTCATAGAATGACCATAATTGACTCAAAAAATATTTAAGCTACCACCTGTAACGTGCTGGTCTCGTCCACTCTGCCGAAGATGAGAGTTCCATTGAGCGCTCCTCTTCAAAGGAATTGTAGTCTTTGTCGATGACTGCGTCAACCGCTACAACGAAGAGAAACTCACACACCCATCTCATAGCGATCTCTTAACAGCTGCTGAAAATCAATTTCATGGTAATTAATGCATTATGAAATTCTAAAATCAGAAAAACAAAGTCGAAAAGATGATGGACACAGTCATCACAAAGTAGATTAGCCGGATTTGATGATGTTGCAAAGCCCAATGATACCCATAGCCCAATAATAATTAGTATGCTGGGTTTTCATTGTTATTTAAAGGCCACTTGAAAAATTGGGCACAAGGTAAGGACGAGCAGAAAAATTTTCGAATTTTCTGTTGAAGGGAAAAGAATTGAGAAATCTCGCTGAATTTTACTGAAGGTGGATTTTCTTTTTGAAAACTGAGAATAGCATACATATAACTCAATTGTACGGCAATACCGTGACTCGTAGCGGAATTTATTAAATCAAAAGGGGCAACTAGCAGTATACAGCGTTTTCGAAAAGTTAGGAACCAAAAAATGTCTCTTCAAAAGAAATTCAGATCTTTTGATTGAACAATATCCATCACAAAGGAGCACGATGCAATGAGTACAAAAAAATTTATTCTACAAATAAACGAAATTCTGCATTTTTTTGCAGGAAACGAACGCGGTAGCATTACAGAGAAAATATTTTTTGGACAAAACTCTGGTAATGTGTTTGTTCAGGGTATGGGATAACCTCGATCTGTGGAAGATGTAAGCATTTTTTTATGGAATTTGAAAAGATGGTTTGGTCAAAAATCGTATTTATACAAAATTTATTCTTCCCTCAAATCTGATCAGTAAAGTTTGGCAGCTGAAAATCCAAAAAGATTTTTTTAAACAGGTACTTGACTTACGCTGCGTATCCCATGATTAATTGCGGTTTTGACAGACAAAAACGTCGTATTTGTGAAGTATCGAATGTCATCGGTGTACTTCAAATTATTGGATTGCATTGTCGGAGAAAACGAACATATGCATAATAGTAGTGATTCATAATGGTCATGTCTTTTATAGCAATGACATTACTATGAAGCACTATGAAGGGCAGAACAGAGAGAGCTAATGCTTTTCGAGGCTTTTAAAGTGCATGCCAGCTTTCTAATTATGCGCTAATGCTTGTTAATTGTTCGTAATTCTCATTTTTCATTTGATTAGGCATGGCTTCGTACTTGTGCAAAAAATGAGTCAATCGTTCAGGAAATGGGATACGCAGCTTTGAACAGGCAAAACATACACGGAACGGAGAAACTCTAGATTTTTCGAAAGAAATAGGAATAGGAAAGGAGGCAG